GTGTAATCACTCAAATTTCACTGACATCATTAACCCAAACTCAATTTGTCGTGAAAGAAGGAAGAAAATAAAGAACCCGCATCAATGTTTAGACGTATGTTCTGTCCGAAGGACGATATGAACATATATTTGCACATGACCGCTAAAAAAAGTTTTTTACAGATTTGCATTACCTTAACCCTTCCTTCGTCGCCCAGTTCGATAAATATGATCTCATTCTCCTTGACATCCTCAGAAGCATCAGGTGAACTGGGTTTGTAAATGGGCGACTTTAATGAGGAGCACATGATGAACGACGATGGAGCAGGGTCATTGTAGCACTGTCGGAATTGATGCAAGTTTGCTGGAGATTTGGGCTGGATTGGGTAACTGATTAGATTTACAGCAGTAATCATGATGATTTTAAGTATTTCGGAGAACAATGTCAACGATTAGGATTGACGGATGTCATGAACCTTTAAAAACCGTAAACTATTTGTATACTGCACATTTCAAGAAAGGTTCGCCGATCAATGTATTAGCAGATTTTAAAGGAAAGTAAAATGGTTATGGGAAAGAAAGGGACAGAATAAATGTTCCATAATAATTTTATTGTTCAATCGTGCATTGTTGTTTACTATGTTTGCTTGTTTATTAACATTGATGTGTGTCCATCGACAGGGTCAAAGTTACTACCTACGAAATTATTGTTTTGACTTGTTTTATTTTTCAATTCCACGAAATGAGATCACGAATAATGGAAGAAGAAAGTGATTAATTCTCGCAATGATGATGTCCTGACGGCTACGAAACAATGGAATTAAGCACAATATGTACCCATTTCCGGGTAATTGTTTGTTACCACGTTGCTGTCCCATCAGTATATCCAATATGTAACTTATCAAAGCAACAAAGACAAAGCCACCATACTTCTGCATACGTTCTACCAAAACCAACATACAAAAATGAGTTCAATTCAAGTCTAATTAATAAAAAGGCATCCTCCTCCTGAATAAAAGGATTGTCTCAAACAAAGTGTCTTGTGTACTTCTGTGCACTTGCATGGAGCACATGCCATCGTGTTAATGAATCCAACTTATTTTTAACATTTTAACAATCCACATCTTTTGTCCCATAATACTCGCTTGCACTTTCCTGTCACCGGATTAATTATGAGCGGGTGTCTCCTCGCCGCCGCCGCCGCTGCCGTCGTCGTCGTTTTCGTCTTCTTCTCGCACAGACATTATTATATAATGAAATGAGTGACATGATCCTCTGCGTTTTTATAATTTCTCGAGAAAAAGAAACACATCTTTCTCGCAGAGATAAATGAGCTAAATGAGTAACAGATGTAATTAAGGAGAAGTGAGTAAAAATGATGAGTTGCATGGAAGGAAGGAAGGATGGAAGCGGGCGTGTGCAAGATGAAGACTTGGATTTTCGGAAGAATCACGACAAACCGCTTTGCTAAATACTGCCGTCATCAAGTTAATCTTTTTTGGTGAATTGTAGTCCGACTTGATCCCACTGCCCTCCCCGTAATAAATATGAAATGCATAGGCAACGTGATAAAAGAGACAACAAACCTCCTCCGCCTCCCTTATTCTCCGACCCAACCTTGCTCTTTTCCCCCGCATGCACCTTATATAAATAGCGATGAAAATTAAGTAGCAGAAGTTGCTAGTGCCACTACGACTCATTTTTGCCTCTGTCTGTAGCCCCCTTTAATGACTCTCCTCCTTCTTGCAGAGACATCGAGTCGCACATACATCATTCCCATCCCATTTTACTTACATGCGATGAAGTAATATAAGGCATAACCGGATCGGAGAGTGTTGTCATCCAGGGTTGACATTGATACTGACACACAATACCCAAATGAGAACACACATGGAAATATTAAAACGGCTTAAATGCTGGCTGGATGACCTGCATTTTGCACGGACAAGGAGCTGAAGGCACTCTCCAGACGACGACAACACGGGGGAGGATACATTATTAGTATTATTATCTGGTGGAAAAATGAGATGAGCTCCCCAACAATTTTCCACCACCATCATCGCACCAGAAAAGCAGTAGTGAAAGTAGTGAGTGAATAGATTTGAGCCATTAAACAAGAAAATGGGACCATAAGAAGGAATTCATGGAAGGGAAGAGAGTGAGTATAGGGGACGACAAAAAGGCTCAAACTCTCCTAACAATTTGGTCCAATCCGTACTTGTCATAAATTTTGTCACTTTTAAATGTCGACCACAAAATATAAAAACCTTGTTTATACATTGCTTCCCCTAACCACAGTTTCGACTCAAATAGCTCTCCAACAACCGCAGCCGTGTTACCTCCTAACTGAACATTTTAAAGATTTTCTCCAATAATAATGCTACCCATCACACACACCCACGCACAAGTTGCAACAGCAATGCAACTGCACAATGTATAAACCACGATATGCAGGAGGAACATTAAATTAGTCAGTGAAACACATTATGCACCAGTAAAAATCATTACCTTCTAAAACAAGTGCACACACACACTTTCAACTTGAAACAAAACACGACAAAGGGAAATATTTATAATGGAATTGTTGGTGAAACAATCCAATTCGGAGCAGTTTGGCAACACCATTTCATTTGTATAAATGATAATAAAATGGTATTTCTCTCACACTCGGGTAGAAAAAAGTTCATGCTGTGATTTGGAATTTTTGCCCTGTTCTGTTCTGCTTTGGCACTCTTTTGTTCCTGATTAGGAAAGGAAAATGATGAAAATTCATTTATCCACAATTCATTCTCGTTCTTAGTACTCACAAAATCGAATTCTTTTGATGAATCAAAGAACCGGGAGTCAAAAGAATATTTCTAATTTCCATGAATCATTGTGCTCCAGTCGAGGAAATAATTCGCTTCGCAAGCAATATGTTCATCATGTTCTTATAACACTTATTTCGCTTTTTTTGCCCGATTCCACCGCTATGGAATATCAGGCTTCATCGGCAGCTCTGGCTCGACTATTATTTTATTAGCGAGAATGAGTGAGTAAAAGCAATCGGAATGTGATTGTATTATTTTTCTGGCCTGCCTGTGTCGAGGGATGATTGAGTTTCGATCTGGCACTACAATGTTTCAGGATGCTATTTTGTATATACAAAGTTATACTTTCTTTTTAAAGATGACAGCTACGAGGAGCTAAATGGGTCTGTTAGCCATTTAAAAATAATTAAGGAAGCCATTATCCTACAATTTTCCCACATTCTTTATTGTACGCAAAGGTTGCAGAGTTCATCTTTGAATTGGAACCAACTGAACAAATCACGTAAAAATAGGTTTTGGTTTTAAAAAAATGTGGAAACCGACCTCGGCGCATTTTGATTTAAGCATTTGTACTTTCCAACAATAACAAAACCTTAGAGCTTCTTCTTCTACTGCTCTCTACTTAGTTTGCTACATGCTAATCCTACTTGCTACAGACTGAGGAGTCCTCGTCGTCAGTCTTCCTCGGTCGAATGGGATCTGGGCGAGATAAAATTAGTTTGAAAAAGTGCTTCATCCTCTCTAATTTTGGCTCAAATAATATAAAAGAGAAGGAAAAGAGTTGACTTTATTGCCCATGCATCATACATAATGTGTACTAGTGCTCATCTTCGACGTACTTATGAGAGTAAAAATAAGGCAAGAAGAGAATGCATGATGCTGCAGTGATGCAGTAGAGAAGAAGAAACTAAGTATTTGTAGTGGTGAACGTGAACCCACGCCAAAAAACTTGTAACTTTTGTCAAGAATAATTTTTGGTGGAAAAGTGTCACATTGTGGAAAGAGAAGAAGCATCACATAATATGAAATCCTTCTTATTATTAGTTTCTCCATCTCTCAAGAGTGGATGAAGGAGAGAGAGAGAGAGAGAAGAAAAACAAATAGTGGCGCAAATGACACAAGTGTCGGGAGATTATTCTCCGTCCCAGTGAACCTGATAAATGGTCCAAGAATACATGTTTGATTTGGAAACATGAATGATCAGGTGGTGACTATTTGTGTGGATGCGTGTGTGTGTGTAGTAATAGTAGTATGCATGCGTATTTCATAAAATTTGGGTTTGTCACCCAAGAAGTTGCCGTCCTCTGTAGTACATTTGCTGAGGATGAGGCAACAACAGCTGCCTCTCTCTCAATCATAAAAATTCTTGAAGCAATTCTGATTCCGGTTCTAAATAAAATCTGAAAAATAAAGGAAACCCGGAACACTAGAGAAATGAGAGAGAGAGAAAAATCCCATTTATCCCAAGAAATGTCGAGATGAGATATGATACATTCTCATAATTTTCACGGAACGGAAGGAAGCCGACACGAACCAACCTCGCTGTTTCATACTTTTTGACGCCAGAAATCTAAAATTAAAATAAAATGGGGTAGCATTGTATATGCTTTATGATATTATCCTCCGGTTTACATACAACTCGAAATAATCTCCTGCCTTTCTTTATCACAGACACACACTCACACAGAAGAGGAGGATTGTTAATACAAAAAACAATTGGGTGAAATTGTTGACGTTGAAAACCTCGAGTTTTCTGTTTAAAAATTGCATTGAGAGAATCGAATTTAAAAATAGAGAGACAGACTCGACTTTATTGCTTGTCAGATGAAGAAGTTCAAGCGTGATTTCCACAAGTGCGGAGAACATGTTTTTCATATTTTTGTTGTATCTATCTCCTTGTCATCTCATCTTCGTATGCATCTCACAACACTACGGCTACAAATCCCACAACCACTACTAGTCACAAAAGTGATAGTAAAAACTAAGAATGATATGCAAGATCTGAACTACTACGTTCCCACATGAACGTCTACACCGTGACACAAAAGTTTTCAATACAATTCTCGGTTACCAATCAAATTTTAAGCTGGGACAGACAGCGTCTGCCAGCGTGTGTTGGCAGCATCGCTCTAATTTATCCTTTAATTCCAGTTGTCATCAACATAACACAGGAAAATGAAAACGAAAGAGATTTCATTGCATCTTTCTTACCTTTGATGATGATGAATTGTGATGTTCCTGCTGCTGCTGCTGCTGACTTTGCTGCTGTTGCTGATGCTGAGGTGGACTTGGAAGCGTCCCGGGTACTTTGTTACCGCTGAAAATCTGCTCTCTAAGTTTCTGCAATTGTGCAATCATGGCGGTAAGTTTCTGCTCATTGTCCAAGATTGACTCGTCCCCCCCGACGAGTGGAGCAAGTCCAGGTATGCTGTAGAGAAGAGGGAAAAAATTGCATAAGAATGAGGAATACGTACAAGATGGCTCAGGTGTGTCAGTCAAGCATGGTTGCATAATATGAGGAGATGCAATAATGCTATACTGGCAGACAGACTGAAGACAAGGGGACCTGTAAAATCTCCAAAAATTCAAACAGATGCGAATGTTTATCTTTCGGTCACCTCAAAGGAAAGGCGCAGTTATTTAGCGTACGAAGGTTGGTGGTGGTGGGTTAGTTAGTCATATAGTTTAGTCAGTGGGGTCTGCATCATCTGTACAAATTGTGGACATTGAATGCTGATCCCATTCTGATTCTGGTGATGAACACAGAGATGGTAGATGCATTATTTATAGCATATCTGGTTCATGAAATTAAATATATGTGTAGTTCTCGTGGCAGCAACGCCATGCAGGGACGACGGACAATGTGCCTTTGTTCAGAAGTAAATTGTGAAACTAGCTGCGATAGAAGGTCAGACGACCAGTGGGAAACGAGCGATAATTCGATTTCGCTATGAAGTGACAAATCTAATTTGACTCGAAATTATATTCATTGTTATCCCTCATTCCGCCTGACGAAGAAGAGATGCCGTGGAGTGAATATGACAATGGAAGCTGATACAGAGTTGAATACATTACCTGTTGTTGTCCACATGTAACCCTGGGGAAAGTTGGGGGTGATGCTGCTGCTGTTGATGATGAGGATGAGAATGGCGATGCTGTGGTGGCTGCTGCTGCTGATGAAGGGCTTCTCCGTTGGAAGAACCAGTACCCACTCTCGAGTTCAATTTCCGGAGTACGTCATCCATTGATTTCTTAGATTTTGAATCGCTTCCATAAGAATTGTTGTTATTATTATTGTTGTTGTTATTGTTGTTGTGATTGTTGGAACGAGGTTTTGATGCACGGCCGTTGGCTCTTTGTTGCAATTGTTGCTTGGTTGGCATTTCCTCATCTTCCGAGTTGTTTCTTGAGCAGAAGGAACCCAACTCGGAGAGTTCTTCATCATCGCCACTGGTCTCCATTAGCGTGGAGGATGCTTGCAGGGAGGCTGATGCTGCTCGTACCGTCGCCTCGTGAAGGTTCTCGCGGAAGGTGGGTGATTCTGGGTACTTGGTTGATTTTCGGGGTGGGACCATTGGATGTGCACCACCACCGACTTCATCTTCAGAACATTCTTCTCCACTCTCATCGCCAGAGTGGGCACCAAGATCTTTGGATGAGAGGTGGTCACCACGAAGGGCAACGACTGTGAGACCGGCTTCTTCCAGCGTAGTGTTTGCACTTTCCTCCAACTTATTCGGAGGCGACTTTCTCTTGGAACTCATTTTGGGTTTTCTTTTCTGGAAAATAAAAAAACAATGGTTTGTCAGGGTCAATAAGGAGAAGAAGTGGAGTTGTCTGGATAATTAAGATGTTGGAGTAATAATTTGTAAATTTTGCATCAATCTTGTTACATTTTAAGTATGTAGATATCTATTATGATAGATAGCATCGTGCTACAACAAGAGCACAGAGTAAGCAAAAGTTAATAAAATGACGGCAATTAACAGGCCATGCTTGCTGGTAGGTTGCATATTATGTCAAGTAGTATATTTGTGGTGTTGGTGGGCAGACGAACATGCGGAGAAGGAGATGATGATGAAAGGCCTAAATTGATTATTCATCAATACATTTTTCTTAAAAGAGAGATAATGGAGGATATTTCAAGGCGAGGGGCTCCACAATGTCGGGCACGTATAACTCATCCAATGTGTGTGGCAATAAGAGTTAAAAACATAATAAATAAAGTTTGAAATCATGATGAATCCAACCAAAGAAGAAGAACTATGAACACTGGACTCTGTGTTAATTGTCCCTCCTCCTCGGCTCCTCGAACTCTTCTTCTTCTTATCAAATAGTCAAATTGTGTCATATGTAAGTCATTCATGCCCTCGAAGCCATCATACAAAATGTCAGCCCGACTTTACCACCAATTCGCCTTATAATTCTGACCAGCCATCCCAAACCACAGACAGAAATAAAAAGAACCTCGCAGCCACCAATATAATTATTCAATTAAAGTAACAAGTGTCTCAAGCGATAAGAATAATAATCATCCGCCGAATAATAATATATTTCCCATCCATCCATCCGCTCACATCGTCCCCCTAAAGCGATAATGGGGTATAGTAGTCCTTTAATAGGTACGCATACACGTATAAAATGCACGTCAGGGTTATGTTTCTTATCCCCTTTCGAATTTCTCAATTCCAATATTCCTTCACAATTTTATTGCCACACATGCGGCGTGCATGCATGTGAATTTAAGAATCTAGTGAAATCTAACTCAGTCAGTCAAAAAGTTATTGATTCCCACAAGTGTTCGAAACATTTCCACTCTCGTTGACCCATCTTTTGAACTTTTGTATTATTATTACAAACATATTCTTGCAATTAAAAGTTCCAATCGTTCTCCATCCTCCTCCTCCTCCTCCTTCATCCATTAGTTGTTGGTTCATACTACGACTACTACTACTATACCTCTCTGTTGAATAAAACTAAAAACCGACGAGGAGCTCCTCGCCTTCTTCTTTTGCTTACTCATAATAATATCCTTCTTACTACGAAAACATCATCTCCGCAACACAGGTCAGCAGAGATGACATCTCCTCTCCACTTAATCACGATTTGAATTATGATAAACTAATTTCTTCACCAACAACAGTAGGCCATCGTCTCCTACTCCTCCTCCTGTTAATTGTATGAGAGAATAAGGAGAACGTCAAGGTACAACTGCAGCCATAAAGCAAACACAAAATTGATTGATGGACCGTGATGGCCTAACAAAAATAATAATTTATTAATTGAGCGGAATGGAATAATTTCGTCCCTGAGAGGTCACAACTCTTCAATATGGTGACTTCTTTCTGCTGCTGCTGCTGCTTTCTCAACATTTTATTTCTTGATGCCAATAATGTTGCTCGCTCTGTGTGAATAGTTATTTCTAAACATTATAATAAATGATGACCATCATCTCGTTATTACTAATTCAAGTAGTAATGGAATTAACATATGTACATACACACGTACTGAAGATATATTTATGTGGCGTAGCCTAACTCTGATGCTCAGCCACTGATTATCAGTGATATGGTTATCGTCGTGGCCATGAATAATCACCCTTTCACAATGAAGCCAGAACGCAGAAGAAGAACGATATATAATATAATAAAATGCTTATCTGTATCTTATAAGTGATCGGAGGATCTGGTTGAATCACATGAAAAACAATTATGAAGAGAAAAATGTAACCTCTTCGGGTCGTCGTCGTCGTCGTCGTACACGTATACATTATTCTACTCGATACGTTCTTATGTACATATGTATGTATGTACCATGTTGGTGCAAAGTGAAAAATAAAAAATTCTCATTTTTAAACGAATATGGCACAAAAACTCTTTGTGTTACAGAATAACAGATCCACATTTTTTTATTTTTTGAGAGTGAATGATACGATGCAGATTTCTTTTTAGAACGTTAACGTCACAAAGTTAAGCCGTAAAGTAACAATGTACTCTTATAGTTCATCTCTGCGTGTGTGTGTAGCATAATAAATATAACTCTGTTATTAAAATGATTGAATAAGGAGCTCAGGATTTTAGCGAGGCACCGCAGCAGTGAGTAGAGACGAAAAAATAAAATAGTCCATACGACATGTAGAAAGCATTATTTTGCAAATGCAAATTCAACCCTTCTGGTCAAAATCATTCAACAGCTTACTTTATTTTATGTCTTCATTTCCATTAGAAAACTGGGAATGGAAATAACCAACCAACCCCAGGTCACTCCGAAGAAGATGATGAAGAGTGCTTTTATTATTTGCACTTTATGTATTGGTTGGTGGCATAAATTTCATGCAGAACAAAATCTGCACCAAAAAATGAATCACACAATTCGCTCCTATTTTATCCTTGTAGACTAAACGCAAACATTACGGGGAATGTTTAATCTTGGGCTTGACTTGGGAAATGGTACGCTCAGTGGGAGAACAACAAAGCAGGCCAAGAATTTATATGTTCATATTTGCTGGCAACACGCAATTTCTTAAAGGATAAAGTATAGTATTTTGTTTTACAAATCGTCGTGTGACAGTTGAGCGTCGGGAGACGAGAAATGAATAATTGGCACAAGATTCATTATTTGATCGAATAGAGGTGAGTAGGAGTTGTGGTGCAGCCGAGATTAAATAGGGCGAACAGGATGAGAATAAAGATTAGCAGAGGCGAGAGAGCTGATTGATGGGAAATTTAAGGAAGGATGACACGCACCGTGCAAAATATGAGAAGCTTCTTCATTATCATCTTTATAGTCGGAAATTGTCTTCAATGACTCCGACTACTGCGAAAAATTATGACAACTGAAAGCCAACCCCAACTGCTGTCTAATCCTGCTACGATTATGATGAGGATGATGAGAAGTAGAATGGTGTAAGCTCAGCGAACCAGAATATATGAAAAAAATGTTTAAAAAAATTGGAGTTCATTCAAAACGAGGGTAATTACATTTCCAGCTTTTCTAAGAGTTTGAAAGAAATTCTATGAATCGTACGTATGAGTCCATAACACAAAGAGTTATATCATCCTATAAAAACAAAGAGATGATCCAAACAGAGTATAAAGATGAAAAATAAGTCTCCACACTCGTCTCCGAGTCAAAATCGTCTATTGCCAAAAGACGGACAAGAATAGCAAGCGTGATTTTGTATCCCAAGTATGAACATGTCGGTTTTTAGATGTGCATTATGTCAGTAATAGTGGCGCAATAATAATGAAATAATGGGCCCATATATATACCCACAAGTGTGAGATTTTGTCATTATTATGATCTGGAACTCATCCGTGCCGCATGGCGTGGATGGATGGGATGCATGGCGTACTACTTTTTATACTTTTTTTTAATACTTCGCAGGAGATGAGGTGAAGAAAACACGACACTACAATTATTATTATACTCAAGCTCTACTCCGTATAAAACGACGTTCCATAACTTACATAAGTACAAACGAAATGCGCCTATTTGCAACACGGTAGGCGACACAACAGCTCCTTCTTCTTATCATTCTAGCTCAGAAATCATTATTAACTTGTGACAGACAATGTATGAAATTTCTCCTGATTTATGACTACGACAATGGGCAATTTAGGCCAAAACACCCGGCTCGAGCAGACTGGTAGTAAAAATTTCAGTTTAGTTTCGCGTAATGATTATTATAGTGACTTTACACGGGTTGAGATGAACCACTGGCAAATGAACTAGTATTTAATGGGCCATGGCGTCGATTATTCAGTGGCAAATAAAAATTTTAACCACCAGTTCAAAAAGTGTTTTCCCTTCTCGCCTCTCTCACAGTTTTTTTTATTGGAGAGGCGAATATTTAAAAAAAATACTTCCAAATTTGGGATCGTGCTCTACACAATTACTTTTTTTACGTACAAAAATCTATGGCTGTTGTACACCCTTTCTTCTCATCTCCTGTGACTCTGCTCTCTAGAGACTGGGCTGGATTGGTTGAAACGAGTCGTCATCCCATTGTTCTGCCAGGCTCTCATTAGCCCCCAAGCAGCCAATGGAGATGGGTTTGAGGGAGTGGAGAACAAAAGCTGTCCTACAAATTGGCACTTGGCTCTTTTTGACCCCGTGCCAAATTGCGATCTTTCTCTCTCTCTCTCAAATTATTCTCGGCAGACTACAATAACGTTGCTCTGCTCCAATGGATGAATGGATAGGAAACAACACCACAAAAACAAGGACGAGAATAGAATAGAATGCAGCCACTCAGCATTAAACATATACTAAAATAAAACGGACGTAGCGAGAAGATGAACGACTAAACTTTTTTAAACAACGCAACCAACACTTTTTACTTACGGGAGCATTTCCCCCATTGTGTTAGTGTCGCTTTCTGACGTCAACCTACTAACTAACTACTCACCACAAAACATCAACATGAATAAATAATTAAATTTCCTACAAACGAGTCTTTAGCTTGGAGCGAATCCATCACGGACTGAAGAAAAATACTTTTTTCTTAAGTATTTACTATCTACATACTTAGATAGTTTGCAGGCTGGTTTTTAATTCAAAACCTTTCACAACAAAACTCCAGGTCAGAGAGGGGGACATGTTGAGGGGTTTTGGTGTGCGTGGTTCAAATAATTGACAAAACTTTTTGTCACTTTTCCACTCCAACAAGTAAATGTAATCCTTTTTTCCACACTCATTTGCCGAGGACTACTAAATAACTAGGAAACAAACTTGACTAAACTAAAGAAATCGTGAATGAATGATGCAGCATTCGTCA